TTTAATAACTGATGAAGAAACAGGGGAAGCTTTGCAAGAGGTGAGAATGGCATAAGACTACAGTGTGGTAGGGCAGATTTTTACATAGTTCCTGCAGTGTTTTGAGACAATATTTACTTCTTGTATCACATACACAAAATTGGCTTCATGTATTAGTTTGGGATAGAGTAAGATTACACCTTGCTATGTATGTCACTGAATAAAAAATAGGCAAGGATATACAGTATATGCAGTTAATGACTGGGGTGTTTATGCCCCTTTTTATATCTTTCAGATTGACAATGCTGCTTCATTGGATGCTCTGCAAGAATGTATCATGAGACACAGCACAGACAGCAGGTTGTCTGAGACATGTGGCTGCTGTGGAAGAAAAGAAAGAAATCGTGGCAGACTACCTCAGATGGTATATTATTAACCGCAACTCATCTGTAATTGACAGGTTAAGATATATTTGTAATGTAGACATATTTGTAATGATGTAATTTTCTTCTTTTTTATGTATTTAGGTAAGAATTTTTAGTTTGAAATGCCTCATGGTCCCCGTCTTTGGTTTATGCAAGCATGTATATCTGTTATCAGTTCGTCACTGTGACAAAATCTGTGCCTTAGTGTGTTACAACTGATACGTGATGTCTGTCTCTCCATTCTCTGTCTTGTGCCGATCTATAAGTGCCCATGCCACCCTGCCCTCTGTCATTCCTGTCTGTTCCTGTGTGTAATTCTTGCAGTTTGTGATAATTACCATGTCATGTGCAAAGCAGGAAATTGGGTTCTTTAAATCAGTAATGTTCAACACACAACCATTTTTTCCACACATGTACATTTGTTTAGGTGGATTGTAATTATGGGGAAGAGAATATTTAATAGTTTTCTTTAGATAATTTAAATGCAATTGGCACTACACAGCAGTGAAACGGTGTTTGTGTTCACTCTGTAGATTCAAAGATGGTCTTTCAGCCCTTCAGTTTTTGACTGCACTACAGCAACATCCTACTTTGCTGGCCCCTGTCCTGAGCCACTCTGAAAAGCGACTCACTGCTTTTGAACTTGAGAGACTCTTCAAACCTGACCTCAGTCCTTCAGGGAGTAACAGGAGACTACAAGAAACTCAAACCTTGGCCTACTGGGCAGACTATCTCCTTGACTGTGAAGGTTTGTAAGGTTTCTTTTGTAACTAGTTGAGAAACCACATTACCATGGTGTATCTGAACATTTTTCTTTGCAGAAAGCCAGGCTGCTGTGTCTGTGGAGGATGTTTTGATGTTTGCAACTGGGCTGACCTCACTTCCCCCGTCTGGCTTGGAACCACTGCCACAAATAGAGTACCTGAATGACTCCCCATTCCCAATGGTAAATACATGTTCGAACTCACTGAAATTACCACTCTTAGGTTCATACAGTGTGTTTCAGGCACAAATGGACTTTGGAATTCAAAATAGTCCAGGATTTGGCTGTTTCTAAGCCATATGACTGGATGACCCCTAGAGCTCAGACTCTGAAAAAGTTGTTTGTTCTCTGTTGTTAAAGGTGCGCTTAAAGGTGCAGTTGCTGTTGTTAAAGGAGTGTTTATAATGTAAATGAGCATGTTTTTTCTCACCAGTAGCATTTTGACTATTTTGTTTTAGATCCATGATTCTCGAACTGTGGTCTCTTTGTGAATCACTGTTTTAGATAAAATTAGAAAAAGTAAAAAAAGAAAAGTATTTCAAGAGGTCTTGTTTTCTATACTACTAAAATGTAATAAATACATTACTTTGCTATATTTTGGATTAATTTATTTATTTCCCACTTATAAACAATGAAGCTGTGGGTGACACATTCAGACACTTTGTGTTCAGACAGACAGCAATGTTCCACCACTACAAAAAAAAACTCCCTTTTTGATTTCAATTCATAGCTGAGCAATTTCTTTTAGTTTCATGTAATGTTCAGATGGAGACTCCAAGTTGTCTGGCTTCTGTAATTGATTGTGCTCCATGGCAAAGTCCAAGCACTCCTGCATGTTTGGGTCCCCACCCAGAGCTATTGACAGAGGAGCCTCAGGAAAGGCATCCAATTCAGCCTGTTCAATTTTAAATCTGCAGTCTCTGGAGCCAAACCTATATCAAACAGAAGACATAATTGCATTTATTTAAATTTAAGCTTAAAGTAAAACGGATACAAATATTAATCTATCACCAATGACTCATGACTCCTGTTGAAGTATCCTATCCTATCCTATCCTATCCTATCCTAAGGTCTGCAAATAACTCCCTCCAGAACTGACACCTATAGAAAATATATTAAAAAAAAATAAAACATTAAAAATAAAAAGATCAGTTAGAATTTTAAGCATATACACACACGTTTGAAGAATGAAGTCAAAGGTTACTTATAACTGAATTACATTATGAAGGCCACTTACCTTCCCTTTCTGAATATGGACCACCAGGACTCAATACGCTGGTTGTTTGTGGATGAGACGTACATGTGGCTGGACACTCCAGAGTAGTAGTCATTGTGGTGGTGACGTAGCGTACACTGACTCGCAGCCATGGTCCCATTCTCTGTGCCGCAATCAGTCCTCAGTCTCATGGGGATAACACCGAGATTTCGCACACATGACAGGAAATAGTGAGCGATCACTGTTGGGTTATTATTTCTTGGTCCACATTCAAGTCACAGTACTTTATGCGAAAATCCATCAATGCATCCTGAAAGGGCCAAACCGAATGGCTTGAGTTTATCATAATAGTCAGCGTGCCACATACAGTTCGGCCCCATTGAGTGGTAGGTTCTTCTTATAAACCTTCTGTGTGCTCTCCTCTCGCACCCTTGAGGATTAAGCTCCCGGAGCAAATTCATTACATGATCCCTTGGTTTACCAGAAACTCCATTGACAACAACAACACGAATTGACTGCTCACTTAATCACTTTCGTGTCAGCCCCAAATTTGGTACATTCCATTTCTGGTTTGTGTTATTTGTAAATTTGTCTCGCGCTTGTAAAAGTGTTTTGCATCTTTTTAATGTGTTTTCTGATATGTAAATTTGTTTCAGGACTGGTAAAAGTGTTTTGGTAATGTAATTTTGTTTTATGATATGTAAAAATGTTTTCCAAAATGTAAATTTGTTTCAAACTTTGTAAAAGTGTTTCACATTTTGTAATGTTTTAAATTTCCTGGCCACCGTAGTTAAAAGCATTGTGAAGCCATACTATGTCTTAAGCTCAGGTTTCACTACAAGGTTAAGACTGGAAACAGCCATAAGGTAAACATCCTGAACAATTTAGATTCGAAGAGACCGGGTGCTCAGTATCCTTGCAGACTTAGAAGTCTGGTACTAACTCGACTTGGCTCTCCTTGTCCCTGGGAAGTTAGTTGCAAGCCATGTGTTTGGCACACTAATTTGTCTGGTTTTCAGGTTCTGTGTCTGCTGGAAGTAGGCATTAAAAAAAAACCTGACTTAAAGACAAGGGTACTGAGCTCACCTGTAAACACAGAAACACAAGCACATCAGCACGACCACATTGCGACATGCAGGCTGGCCGGGGGGTCCACTTATTAATTAGCGCTATCTTGCACCTCACTTAAAGGACCCTTAGGCTGCCTTAAAGTGCCTGTGAAGAGCTTTACTCATTGTATACTCATTTTAACCCACTGTAAATATTAGCTGATCTTATGCACAAATATCAGATTACAAATAAATAAAAATAATGACAACAAAATAATGAGAAAATAGTACACACGTAATACAAACTAAGAATGGGGGGTGTCCGCTTATATTGCCCACATTACTATGAGTCCCACACATTGTGCACCAATTTCAACAATGTTGTCTCAAATCATGGGCTGTCATTTTGCACATACCGGAAGTGACAACGGCTTTTTTTTTTTAATTATTTGAACCGCCTATTCATCATCGTCTTTTTAAACGTCAAATTGCAAATTGACGGTGTAGCATTATCGCCAACATTTGACTTACACACATAAACCACCACATTACACCACAACGTCAATGCTGATTAAAATGTGCTGCCATAGCTAGGAGCAAGTTATCTAGCTAGGGAATGCTTGCTTAGCTCACTCACATTATTGTTTGCAATACCAAATTATTACAGATCCAGCAAACATTACTGATAGCTTCTATTCAACAACAGTATGGGTACTTTGTGCAAAAAACATGAATAACTAACAGGCTCCTTGTTACCACCCAAAAGTTGAGAAGTTTGCTACATCACAAAGATGATGATCGTTGAGGGTGAGAAATGTTCCACATTCCACACTCAACTTTTGGACCATTTTGAGTGCTCTAGTACACTGCATTTTCCTGTACTATGCAGTGTGAATGCACTTACTATAGCTCATTTGTGCACTCAAAATATTAAGTGTTTAGTACAGAAGTATGTGATTTGAGACACACTTTATACCCTAGTCATAATACAAAGTCAGGCATTTATAATTTCATGTGCAATTTTAGTGAATTAATTTTTTGCCATTCCCAGGCACTGTACTTTAACAAACTCCTTCAAAACAATTTATCAGACTGACTTCAGATTCGGTCATTACAATCTTAAGACCTTAACAATGGAAATATTGAGATTTTACTGAACGACACTGACGTGGCTTGTCGACCATTTTGTGTGTTCTGTCATAATAGAGGAAATTGTTGTGACTTGACCACACATTGTCCAATCTGCCCCAAATTCCACATGCTTGATAAGAGACCAGCCTAAAGACATCTATGTGTATACAAAATGACATGTTTTATACTTCAATGAACTCGTTCTAGAGAATTTATCAGATCGCCATCTGATTTGGGTGATAGAATCTTAAGACCTTAATGATGAACAGACATTTTTTACTTTTGGTAAATTGATGTAGCCATGGCGACTATTTTGTACGTTTTGCCATTAAACAGGAAGTTGTTGCAACACACAAATGCACAAGGATACTGTTTGGAGAAACACTGGATGATGACTTAATGGATATGAACTAAGAAAGGCGTGCAGCAAGCAGGTGTCAAGTCATAGCTGATTTATTTTGAAGGCAGATTTCTTTCAGTTCTTCAAATGACCATAGGTGTGTGTGGTTTGAGCTCTGCAATGATAAAAAGCAAACATATTACCAATAAATCAAACATATAATAACAAATAGTGTGCAGTTACGAGGTTAATCAAAGTGATCAAGGCACACACATAATATTTGCCATGCAAAAGTACAAACAAAGGCTGAAGGTAACATATAGCCTCTCATTAGGGGAAAGTGGTTGCACCTGAGGGAGGTGGCTCCTTCCTACACTCTAAGAAATGATTCACGAGGTTAGTGAGTATAGCTGAAATTGAATTGTTTTCTTATATGTACACTTTTTGTTAAGTTGTTAAGTTATTTGATAAGTTGGCCAAAATCAAAATACAGAAAGCTGTCATTATTCAGAAATGTATCAATTTCAAGCAAAAATGTCTGCCTGCGTGTAACAATGAAAAAGGTATTTAGTCAGTGCAACTTATGTTTCTAGGGAACAGCTGAGTGGACTTGCCTGGGCTTGTCCTTTTGCTACACCCTGCCTTCAAGCCATGAAAAGGGAAAACGTGATTTTGCACGGACTATCCTTGAGCCAATTTACTTAGTGAGTGCTACTTTGCCTTGTTATATTCACAACAATCAATGACTGTATTAACACACAGTGCAAGTTTTAACCTGACAAACTGAAATTTAAGCTTGTCCTTAGCTAATTTAGCTATTGTATCACTAAACTTTTAGCTAGCTCGCTTTTAGCTGGTAAACTTTTAGCGAGCTGGATGTAGTCAGCCTTCATCTTTTCATGATGTTGTTGTGCAGTGGCAGCTAAATTATGTTTATTGGCACTGAACATCTGTAATGTTAGTTGTAACACTGCCCTGGTAAGAAAAAACATGGTTTGCTTCGTCCAAATTTAAAATTGGTAAAACTGCACGTTTGGTTTGCATGTGGCTGTTGGTACATTCATGTTTAACCTTTAACTAAGTGAGGGTATATCTATTATATTTTGATTTCAAAATATATGCATGTTGATCAGGGCTGGACTGGGACAAAAATTTGGCCCTGGACTTTTTGGTCCAGACTGGCCCACCACTATAATCTGCGTGCAGATACTGTGCCAACTCGCCCCCCATTGAAGTACATATAAACACACAAGCCCTTAATAACACTACTATACTGAACAATATCCCTTTATATTCTGGAGCCTTGAATAAAATAAATCATGACTACACAGTATGTTGCTCTCTTGGTCTTAAGAAGGATACTGGAGAAAGGATTTAAGATTCAAGAGTGTTTATTTATCACTCACTCATAGGCGGTGAAACTGTCATGGCATTGGCAGGCTGGCAGCAAGGTACTGTAGGTCACTCATAATCACACAAATAGAGAGCCCTGTGAAAGACAGACAACAAAAGATGTATACATTATTTAAGTGATTACTGAACAATATCCATGCAAATTGTCAAGTCTTGACTAAAATAAATGTATAATAGATAGCCAAGAAAAGAGGAAAGTAATTGTATTGCTCTTACAAGGAGGATGCTGGCTAAAGCTCATCACGACACTGGCAACAAGGAAGACAACTGTAGGTCCCCCACAAAGCACACACTGGAACAAATATAAAGCCGTCCTCAGCCCTGTGAAAGACAGACAACATTATTTAAGTGATTACAAATTATAAATTAACAACCTAGTACTTAATATATTAACTCACATGTCATTATAGGTAGAAATGATCAAAAATTGTGAAAATAGCAGATCTACATGCTCAACCACATCACAATGCAACATGTGAGTTGTAAGCTTGTAGATCTGCAATTATGTGTGGCATCCTTTGATGAAAGTATAAAATAGTGAATGTATATGTAGTGAATAGTGAATATGAATATGGTTATTGTTTTCCAATACTTTAGATAACTAGATTTAGTTGTAACACACCACACTATGCAGAGCTTGCTATTTATTATGTCAAGTAAAGTTCATAGACAGTTGAGCAACAGTTCTGAACATTTATTAGCCTTGAGGTGAGGTGAGTACGGTACATGTTTGATTTGAACATTTATGGAGACGTAAATCTCTTTAGACCCGTAGGTGCAACAAGGCTATTCAAGAGAAGGCTGAGACACGGGGTCAAACATGGCGGGATTGCACATGCGCAGTGTAACTTGAGCTGCGATGCTGGAGGGTGACAGCAGGGGCGCTAGATAAAAAGCGCAGGATCTGCTCAGGCGATCAAGGAGTGCGATTGGTGCAGTCTGCTTGGACTTATGGACGGCGGCTGCCTGAAGTTGTCGGAATTGCATCTCTGTCATTCTCACCCACAACGCAGGCCACCAGTGACAGTCCAGTAATAAGCTGTGAATGCATGCACATATCCCAGAACCAACAAAATGGAGCCAGATGAAATACCTCTTGTTTTGTTGTGTGATGTTTCCAGCACAAAGCTTTTCCTCAGACTTTTAGTTCATTTGTTATTTGTGTGGTGACTGTTTGTGTGTGAAAATGCAAAATAAATCATTTCTGTCCTGCAATTGTTCCTGTGTTTTGTGGTGTATGACATCAAGACAATAATGAAACTGAGAATATTTGCATATTGGAATATGTAAAAATGTGTCAGTAAGCTCTTTTTTCAATATCATTTTAATTTGTTTTTCTTCCTTAATAAAGTAGCTAACCTTAACTAATGCCTCTGGTAAAGAACTAGGACTGTTGTCATTGGTTTTGATTCTGAGAATCATCCTTCAGTGTAACACTAGATATTATCACAATATATTTTGTTGTAAAGCCAGAGCACAGATTATCAGTTTTGCCATAATAGTTAAATTCTATTGCAAAAACAAACATTTTCAAATCATTCATAAATTCCCAACTGTAACCAAAAATATAAATTGACCAAATAATCAGACTAATTGCCAGCTGGTGAAAGTGGTGCATCTGTAGCTCATTTTGTGATGTCGTCTCCAATTAGTTTGAATTTGAATTCATTTAAGCATAGTCCCTTGAGATGCAGCATCTCATTTTCGAGGGGGTCCAAGAGACACATACAGAAATATACAACACAAAAAACAACATTCAGTACATACATACAATAAAGACAAAACAATACTAAGACACACAAACATTACAATACAATACAATACAATACAATACAGACAGTACATTACAATAAACAAGATACAGACAACTCACTCACCCTCACCCATCTCACCCCCATACCTCAGATGTTAGGCAGAAAAAAAAAGAAAAAAAAAAAGAGGTATAATATATATATACAGATACACACATACTTATATTTATACATATATACTGCATATACGCACATATATACATAGTACAGTAACCCAGGATTAGGAAAATAAACACACTTCATACGACAGCTTGAATAATACAGTAAGATATTACAGGAGAGACACAAGAGACATATTAGTGCGTAAATTAAAAACATGAGCAGTTAGTTTTGAGATGGCAAAAAAGGGATGACTTAAAACAGTGAAAGGAGGAGATTGATCTTAGAAAGAGTGGAAGATTATTCCAGTCAGATGGGGCTTTGTATCTAAATGCTTTATAGCCAATTTCTTTGGAGATGATGGGTACAGAATGGAAGGGACATTGCATGTTTCTGAGAGAATATGAGGATCTGAAGGGAATCAGAAGTGATTTTAAATAAGAGGGACAATTAAAGTAAATACATTTAAAAATGAATAGAACCCAGTGGAACTGTCTTCTGGAACTGGGCTGTAGCCAGTTAAGTGATTCATACAGGTGACAATGGTGAGTTCTGAAGGGACATCGCAAAATAAACCTACATAATGAATTAAAAACAACATTAAGGGGCCTGAGGTTGGTGTCAGAGGTGTTTTGGTATATGATATCGGCATAGTCTATGATGGGTAGTAGCAGCTGGGAGATAATCCTTTTTCTGATTGGAAGTGTAAAACAGCTGATTGAGCGATATAATGAGGAAAGACAGCTGTAAGTTCTTCTTATGATATAATCAATATGGGGTTTAAATGAAAGTTCAGGGTCGATCCAAAGTCCAAGATATTTAAATGAGTCAACTTTATGGAGAGGTGAGCCATCAACAAAATGAATGGGCAGATTATGATGATATGATTGGGTGTGTCGTGTACCAAAAACCATGCTGCAAGACTTCTTTTGATTGAGTAGGAGTCTGTTGTTAAAAAGCCATTGTTGAACAGAATTGAAATCAAGCTGTAGGGAATGTTGGATTTGAGATATGTTGGAGGTGTAAATAACAGTATCATCAGCATAAAGATGAACAAGACAGTTTATGCATAAATGAGGTAGGTCGTTGATAAAAATGGAAAAAAGGAGTGGTCCCAAGGTAGAACCCTGTGGAACACCTTTATCCACAACCAAATAGTCGGACTGAAAACCATGAAAAGAAACATACTGACGTCTATTAAACCATAATACAGCCTGTTGACTTAAACCAATAGAAAACAGTTTGTCCAGAAGAAGATAGTGGTCAACCATATCAAAAGCCTTAAATAAGTCAATGAAAATCGCACCAGTGAGTTGGCCTCTATCGAAGGAGGAGAAAATGTCATTCGTAAATTTTAAAAGAGCTGTGGTGGAGAAATTTGATCTAAAGCCAGATTGGAATGGGGATAAAATATTGAACTGATTGACATACTGTGATAGTTGATTAAAAATAAGTTTCTCAAAGACTTTGGCAGTAACACAAATGATTGATATTGGACAATAGTTATTCACATCAGATGGATCTCCTGATTTGAAATGAGGTGTTACTCTCGCAGATTTCCATGTGGAGGGAATTGAACAGGTTGATAAAGATAAATTAAACAGGTCAGCAAGTGGATACATGATTACATGAGCTGCAAGTTTAAAAAATTTAGCTTCCACACCATCTGACCGGTACTGCTATTTTCCTTCAAACCAGATAATGCACAAAAAACATCAGTAAGTTGGATTTTGTTAAAGGAAAATAAATTATTATAAGTAGGTGAATTATTATATGTTAAGTGGTTGACCATATTATAAGGAAGAAATTGTTGAGATACTTGAGAAATGTTGATTGAAAGCATTAGCAATACTGAGGGGATCAGAAATATATTCATTATTAAATCTAATCTGATTTGTGACATTTATATTATCTCTGTTTAGAACATGATTCAGCTGCTTCCACAATTGCCTGGGGTTATGAAAATCCTGTGAAAGACTCTCTGTAATAGTTGGATTTGGCATTTCTTGTTTTTGTCTTACATTGGTTTCTCAAATATCTGTAAGTTTCCCAGTCTGAGAGATGTTTAGATAACCGGTACTTAGCCCAAGCTTTATCTTGTTGTTTAAAGAGACTGATAAGGCTTGAGTTTATCCTGCCTTTAACTCTGATTATTTTAGTGGGAGCATGTTTATCAATGACTTTGGTGAATTTGGAACTAAAAAAATCCTAAGCATCTTCAGCAAAAGGAATAAGTTGAAATCTATCCCAGTTCTTTGATTATTTGGGTAAGATTTATACTGTTAATAAATTTCTATCGTTGAAGGAGGAACGATCGAGCCAGTTACTAGTTCAGGTGCTCCAAGCCCTATAAATGAAACTGTGGGTACCCAGAGGTTTTTCCTCCAACATGTCTTCTGTATGTGCATTCCCACTTTGCAGAGGCAAACAGAGAGCAAAGAATAAAAGAAAACGGCTGTTTCCTAAATGTGACCTTAAACAACAACTATGGGTGGAGGAGATAAGAAGAGCTGGAAGACATTCAACATGGAAACCTACACAACACTCAAGAGTTTGTGAGGTAAGTTCACATGGCCAGCGCATTATTTTTATTATATATTATTATTTGCAGTAGGTTGTCATAACAGAAATATATTTTTTATTTCCTTCCTGAGGATGATTCTTCACCTGAGGCTATTGGTGTGAGAGGAAGGCTGCTGGAAAATGCTGTACCACAATTCCCACAACAAGAATTTGCCTACTTATTATAATCATGTTATTGCCTACTTACATGGATGTTGAAGGCCACCATTAATTAAGAATAATGAGAACTAATGAGAACTATTAAGAATAATGAGAATAATGAGAAATAATGAGACTTTCAAGTCTTCCGGAAAGACCAGATAGAATTTCTTGAAAATAGGTATGTGTATGAGTATATGTGTGTAAATATAAATAGCCTCATGAGTCCATTCTGAGTTGACAGGCTCGATCCCACCTGGCCAGCTAACACTCACAAGTGGTCCACTGACACAATTTCCAGCTATCTTGCACTCAGGTTAGCTGTTGGACAGGATGGATATGAGTATCTGCGGAAAGGTACCATTACTAAATGGCTATACATATTGTGAGAAATGAAATATTAAGCATAATTATGCAAATTAACTTTTGTAAATGTTTGTGCTTAATCTTCCAAGACATGAACTACCCAATACCATCATACAGAACAATTACACAATGACTGGAGGGACTTCCATTTCCACCTGGTATCCCCTGGATATCTTGGATTTGATGTCAGTAAAACTGAAGTCCCTTACCAGTCATGCCCAGATGTTTGTTCTCAAGGTATGCATGTGCTGTTATTTTCAATCACTTGAAAACAATCTCTTAACTCTCATACAACTAAACAGTTTTTGTTTGTGTTTTGCTTTTTGTGTTTTTTGTTGTTGTCTAATGCATATGCTTCAGATGGATGAAATGTCTATAGCTCCAGGCCTGCAATACGAACCAGCCACCAAGACAGTGTTAGGAGCAGGAACCATGCCTCCTACTCCAGACAAGCATGGCAAAAAACTTCTCACTTGCATGCTAACAAGCCTTACTGTCCATTACAAGCAAGTGGTGGCATATCATTTCACTGGGTCCGCTATATGTGGATCTGAACTGTGGAGGCTAGTGCATGCAATTGTCATGGCTTGTGGGGAGCGAGGTATCAGAGTGGTCGCTGTGGTAAGATTAAAAGTATTATATTACTGAGTAAAATGTCAAAAATACAATTAAACCTCCTTTCATTTGTACAATTCTTGAAATATTTTTGTAGTGCACTGACATGGACTCAAGCAATCAGGCTATGTGGCGGGCTGCTGGCCTTCAGGGGGGAGAGCCATGGATAAATCATACATACAGCATCCATTCTACCAAGGAGGGTACCTGTTTTTTGCACCCGATACCCCTCATCTCCTCAAAGCCATGAAAACGGCCCTGTGCAACCACAGCTTCCACCTGCATCTCTCTCTCTGTCTCCCTCTCTCTCTCTTTCTCTCTCTCTCTCTCTCTGTCCCATTGTGTCATGCGGATTACTGTTAATTTATTATGCTGACCTGTTCTGTACGACATCTATTGCACGTCTGTCCGTCCTGGAAGAGGGATCCCTCCTCAGTTGTTCTTCCTGAGGTTTCTACCGTTTTTTTTCCCCGTTAAAGGGGTTTTTTGGGGGGAGTTTTTCCTTATCCGCTGCGAGGGTCATAAGGACAGAGGGATGTGGTATGCTGTAAAGCCCTGTGAGGCAAATTGTGATTTGTGATATTGGGCTTTATAAATAAAATTGATTGAATTGATGACTTCCCTTCGCCTGCTGTCCACCCTCCGGTCCCGCGGTCCCACGGTCCACTACTGGATCTGTTGGGAGGTACACCAAAACACAGCCGCCAGTCTCCCGCCAACACACCAGTACCAATATTCCTCCGATCCACACCTGCCTGGCCCCGCAGCTGGCCTTCTCTGTGTCCGCCGCTCAACACGTGCAAACAAAACAACACTCACGTTTTGCCTGGGAAATAACGTCCCGCTATTCACCCAGGCTGGAGTTGCAAGGCCAAACGGACACAGGCTGCTGCGCTTCAGACGTGTGGTTGTTCTCCTGTGGTGGCGGCGGTCTCCTCTCGCCGTCCGGCCCTTCACTGGGGTCCTCTGCCTTCTTTCTCTTTTCTCCATGCTGCTTTCCTGCTGCTTAAAAAGGAATGTCACCTGCGCTCGCCACCACCTGTGGCTCGTTGCGCTGATTGCTGCCGGTGCGAGTCTGTGTGCAGTTCAGTGTCAGTTTGGAAATGAAAACTCTGCATGCAGTTCAACATAAACTCTGACTGAAATAATCAAAGTACTGCAAACAAGGTAACATGCAACATTTCATAAACATAATGAACACAGTAAAATAAACAAAGTAACACAACATGCAAATAAACAAAGTAACACAATGTGTAATATTTCATAAACGTAACTAAAACACAGAAAACGAAAAGTTACAGTTGTAACTAAGGTTCTATGAGTCCCGGATGACCAACAGAGGCGGCGCATAAGCACTGGATAACTCCGCCCGTGCTATCGCATGTCGAGTACGAATATCAACAACGTCACCCGTGACCCCTGCATGAACTCCGGGAGGCTATATCTTCCGGTGTCAGCAGGTGATCTATTCCCAAAATCTGCTTGCCAGCGTGCAAGGATTCTGAGTGACCAGACACTCTGGTTGTCATCCGGGGCTCATAGAACCATAGTTACAACTGTAACATTTCGTTCTATTTCGTCCCTACTGACTGCCAGAGGTGGTGCATAAGCACTGGATGACACATACCAACAACATCACGAAGAATCACCCAGACCTACCTCACTGATCAGAAGTCACGTGGCGAAGGACTACGCCCAGCGGGTAGGGAGCAGCAACATTGAGGCGATAAAAGCGATGGAACATGGAAGGCGACGCCCAAGAAGCCGCAGCACATATGTCTTCCAACGAAACACCCCTCAAAGCAGCCCAGGACGTGGAAACCCCCCGCATCGAATGGCACCTGACCCCGGCAGGCAACGGACGGCCGGTGACCCTGTAAGCATAGGAGATGGTGTTCACAATCCCATACGAAAGACGCTGTTTAGAGAGGGCACAACCTTTATTATGACCCTCATGGCACACAAACAATTGGTCCGTTCGTCGCACAGGCGCAGTGGCGTTGATGTAAGCAGCCAGGGCCCGTACAGGACACAACAACTGCGCCCCACAGTCGGCCGATGGGGGGTCGAACCGAGCCAGATGAATCGGCCGGTTGAGATGGTTGCGTGGTAGCACCTTTGGCAGGAACGCAACGTTCGGCCAGAGACCTCTTCTGCGCAAGGGCCCCACAGAAGTCTGCCCTCTCAGACTGGAAGGAAGGGAGGCAGGCCAGAGGATCCAGTTGGGCCAGTCTGGCCAACCTCACTGACCGAGGCATGATACAGCAGTTCATGCAGGCTTTGTCAGTGAGGGCCTCCTGCAGGTTTTTTGGTCAATTTTTTTTTTTTTAAATATATATATATATA